TGCTTATGTGGCGCAGCGCGAGACTAAGCTCCGACAGGGTGACCGATCTGACGCGGAAAGCGCCACTGACCACCCTCGGCAGCCGCAGAGGCAGGTCCGCACCGGGTTTGCTGTTTAGGGTGTCGGTAATACGCTGTCCCGCTGTGGCGAAGCATTCGCTGAATTTGTCGGCGTCTGTCAGGTCTAGAGTGTTGTTGGTTTTTGCCGGTTTATGATTGGCTTTAGACCTGGCATGATTTTGAATCATGCCAAATTTGAATTTTGCATGATTCTAGAATCCGGGTGTTTTTTTTTAGTAAGGTCGGAGCGTAGGAGTTTGTGGTTGCATGTTTTGCACATATGTCGGCCTGGCACTCCCTTCAGCAGGTGCGTAGTCATGCGTCGTGACAGAGGTGCTGTGATCATCACAATGTAGGTAGAATTGCGGAGCCGGCAGTCTCCACAAAAACATTTAAGTTTATGTGGGGTATTGGTGCGCTGTATTTGGTTTTCGTTTGCTTCCAGGTTACTTTTCATTATAAAGCTGCTAGTTGTTCTGCTCTTGCAAAAGATGGTAGGTCTTACTTCAATGTTTTCGTCAGTCGGTGCGATATTCGTATTGATTATGTTCTGGAAAACGTTTTCATCATTGTAACGGCTTGCACGCCATCATGCAATGCTGAGGTTTATGGCCTAATATTAATAACAAATATTGCTGTGGTCAAGAGCTTCGTTGAATGCCAATTCTCGTTTCAGATGATCAGATAGCTTTGGCAGCTGCATGAGGTATGAGTGTTTTTGCCAGAAACGCATGGTTTGAAACCATCAAACGCAAGCTTCATTGTATTGCAACAGAGCAGGTCAGGTCACGAAAAGCTTCAAAACAACACATTTATACGTTTAAATAGGCAAACGCTCTCACCCGGTGACTAGTACAACGCCACCTTGTACGCCGGGGCGGGATGGCTGTAGGTAGGCGTGTAGGCAGGCTTGTAAGCCGGAGTGGCAGCGTTATGGGCAAGGGTAGGGTGGTACTCGGGGTACTGGGCCTCTCCCTCGTAGGTGACCTCCGCGTTGTAGCCGCCGTAGTGGTCAGCGACGTACTTGACGTGCTGAACACGGCCGTCGGGCAGAGCCACCGAGAAATATCCTTGGGTGTTGTGGCCATCGCTCTCCTCCTTCTTGGCGAAGTTGGTGCCGGTGTAGTGGTCGTTGACGGCGTAGTCGTAGGCGAACGGCTTGGCCTCCTCCTTGTACTGGGGCTCCGGATGGTAAGAGGCCGGCTTGTAGGAGGGGGCCGGGTGGTAGGGGGCAGGCGTGGGCTTGTACACCGGCGTCTCCGGAGCCGGGGCGGTGGCGGCGACAACCAGCACGGCGGCAACGACGAAGATCTGAAATGGCACAACGGTTGTGTTATTAATAAGCCAGTTGTTTTGGCATATTTTCTGTTTTACAATGCATCTTGCAACCACGCTTCTTACACAACACATCTCAGCCTGGTTCCGGCCACGGAATATTTTCCAGAATGATCTCTGACAGTTGAAAAACGCTACCTCAAGCACCTCCTTCAAGCGACTACCTGCATCCTGTGTTTTGTGGTCGAGTGCGCAGTGAAACTGGTGCCTGCTTCCACAGTGCCTTCGTTTTTATAGGCCGTCCGCGAGCCGCCGATGTAAGGCCAAGGACAGGGAGCCACTGAACGGGAGGCTCCCGCTACCGCAGGCTAGGCTGATGAATTAGCATGGAGACTGGGCCGATCCCTGGGACACGCCCAACTTGTGGCAAGCAATTTCGTCGCCCTTTAAATTCGGTCTTTCCTTACCCATGACTTTAGATGTGGGTGTTCCATTTCAGACGTAAACACACATGTTCAGTTTGATGATGGAGAGAATGTAATTGATGAATAATCGTGGTGTCATACTTTCTCATGCCTGTTGGGCGTTGTTTGATGTATTTTGGTTGTATATATATATATATATATATATATATATATATTCGTTTTCGCTAAAGACTAAGGACTTTTGATCTTCGCATGTTGCCTGTAGTTTTTCAGTGGTTTGGTTAAGCGTTTTGTGATGCGTTATTAAAGTTTAAGTTCCAAGTAAGCTGACTGAGCTGATTTTCAGCGCATTCAATATGCTGTTTCCATGCCGCAAAAAGGAAGCACATGTTCACAAGCGGCCAGAGTTAAACAGCTTGCCTTCGGCCACGGCATTGACGTGCTCTCGCCTTATGATCCTTTAAAGAATATGACATTCCTTAGTTGTGGTGACCGGTGACGATGAAGTGACCATAAGATGGCTCAAGGTCTACCAGCGCTTGGCCCTGCCAAATCTCAAATTTCACTGCATAATTTTACTTTATCCCCTTCGATATTGCGCTCTCCAACTGCCAGCAAGTAGTTAGAGGACCATGAAAAGGTGCTGCTTGTCTACCTAAAAGTTTCGTTCATGGCTTGGATCAGGTGGTGGCCATTGATAATCAATTTCACATTCTGTAGCAAGACTAGTATCAATGTATACCCTCCACCGACCAGTTGCACCATTTAGTTGCTCAGCCACTGGTACGTTTAGTTCACTTATGACATTCTAAGGTGGTGCGAATGGGATGGGGACGACGTTAGGCTAACCAGCCATGCGAAGTGCATAGCTGGTAGTACGTCACTGTGAGCCCAAAGTTTGGTGAAACAAACGTCAATTTCATCCCCAATACTTTGCTCTTCGTATACAAATGACATATACTACAGGCGTTTGTCTCCCTCACCTTGCAATCATTAATAGTGCATTCCATCAAAGAAAATTTTCATGATTAAGATAAAGTGGTCATGCTGATTTATCGACGTTTCATATTTCAGAACCTTCGGCCTAAACAATACTGTAAAAATAAAGCCAACGGGTGAAAGGCTCTCTTACCTCATGGTATGAACAACGCTAATGACATTTCGACTGATTAACAACTAACTTGATTTAATGTAAGCATCATTTGGTTTCTATAAACCCCAAAACATGACCTTGTTGACGTTGATGTAAAACTTTCTCTTTAATACCCAATGTTTTTCCACCAATTGGGCCATACAATGTTAACTCTGCAGTTATTGCCGTGTTGTTGCTGCTGTTGTTGACGAGGGTTGCTAATTTCGTTATTGACTGCTTCCACATACATTTCGTTCTTTTCAACGCCGTTAAGATGTGTCTAGCCGTTTTAGTGTGGTTTGGCGAACGTGGCTGAAGTTGCCGATAGAGCCCCAGGAGACTAAAATAGGTGAGTTTTCCTCTTTGGTGCCGAGACACCCCACTGACATTTGGGACTCTACTGTGAGGAATATTCCCCGACGGCAAATGGCGACAATTTGCAGATTCTTTTTACTGGAAGCTTAGGATGGCAATGCTCTTAATGGTAGTCACCGTTAAAATATATCATATGTCGTCTTGCACAATCCCCGATAACTTGAAGTCCAGTGCATGTCAAATGGCAAGATTAACACTCCTAGCCCCTTTTTACTTGTTTTCTGCGGCATTGAATACAGTTGTCAATTTTGATACACCAATTCAATTGAGTGGAATTCGAACAGATTGGGTGGCCTTTTGGCATGTTTTCGTCGCTGTGTCATTGTTGTTTACCTCCAGTGTGCCGCAATCGATTTAAGTCATATGAATACTGAAAGCAGTTGCAGGCCATCTTCAATGGATAGTAATTCATCCGCCATACGCAACACCTTACACTGCATGTTAGTAATATTTTTCATAGGCCCTTTTACACTGATTTACCTGCGTCAAAAGTCACTAAACTTTTCCAATTGGTGTTCCGGGCAATTCAGCCATACATTAGCTGGCTTGGATCTTAGTTGCAGACAATGGCTGTAGTAATAACTCGTACGTTAGGCGATGCATTTAGCACTAGTTGGTTTGGATCTGTGGTCTCATGAAGCCTGATTATTGGATTGCCTACAAATTGGTAAGATCATGCGACTAATTGAAAATGTACGCGACTTGTGGTCAGTTATGTGACCTAACCGTGGTAAGTGTTCAGGTGCCAGGATCAAGTGTGCAGACAAAGGGTGAGAACACAGCCTCAAACCTATCGTTTGCCTGTGTGTTCGTGTGCCCAAATCTCCAAGCGTTATTAGGACACCAAAACGTCCCAAAGGCTCTCGAAACGAGTGGCGCCATCTGGTGCGGCGGCTTGACGGAAACACTTGTGCAAGTTTGAAATCGACCAGTGGCGCGTGGCAGTTGGGCACGTCCCGTTGGACACATGGATGTGCAGTCAAGTCATCTCGCAGTGAGTCAGCTCATGCGATCCGATCATTCTGTGAATGGCTTCAGATGATCAAGAAGTGGGAGAGCTGCGAATCGCCGCCAATCAAGTGGACAGTTTTGCATGCCAGCAAGAAAAACCCAACAAAATGCTCAGAAGTTAAGGAGCTGCACTGGGAACGCTTCTACTCATTTATGTATGTGAGCATCCAGAAGACATACCTTACACAATGTGCCGACCTGATCGCCTGACGGCACTGGAGGTGTGCCGGGACTGCTTGGAGCGATCTGAACATCACTCCAGACATGAGGAAAAGGAACTGCACTTGCCAGTGGCCTGCCAGAGGTGTTTAACAAAATCGTGCATTGGCAACCACCATCTAAGCAGTTTAACCGTACCTATTTTTCAGCGCATTACTCCCACTGATTACACAGAATACTCGTTCGAAAATAATTAGTTCAATGGGTCTTAATCGTACCGAAATCTTCCGGAAGCATTTAGAGCGGATATATTGCACGCGCAACCTGTCATAAGCCACCTCGTGGCTAAACAAGATACTATTGGCGTTATTTTTGGTGGGTGCGCTTGTCTGGTGTCGCAGCATCATCACTGAAAGCAGCCCAGAGCGAAACACCAGACAGCTTGCGTAAAAACACGCATGGTTTGAGTGCTTCGTTTATTGAAATACAGCGGGTCAGGTCACAAAGAAGTTTCACAACACCAGCATTTGTGCGTATAAATAGAAAACATTCCATCGCATTTGACTAGTACGCCGCCGCCTTGTATGCCGGAGCGGGACGGCTGTAGGCGGCCTTGTAGGCCGGTGCGGCAGCCTTGTAGGCCGGAGCGGGGTGGTAGTCGGGGTAGGTTGCCTCTCCCTCGTAGGTGACCTCAGCGTTGTAGCCACCGTAGTGGTCGGCGACGTACTTGACGTGCTGGACACGGCCGTCGGGCAGAGCCACCGAGTAATATCCCTGGGTGTTGTGGCCATCGCTCTCCTCCTTCTTGGCAAAGCTAGCTCCGGAGTAGCGGTCGTTGACGGCATAGTCGTAAGCGAACGGCTTAGCCTCCTCCTTGTACTGGGGCTCCGGGTGGTAAGAAGCGGTCTTGTAAGACGGGGCAGGGTGGTAGGGGGCGGGCTTGTAGGAGGGGGCCGGGTGGTAGGGAGCGGGCTTGTAGGACGGAGGAGGGTGGTAGGGAGCCGGGGTCGGCTTGTAGGCCGGGGCCGGGTGGTAGGGGGGCTGGCTTGTGGGTCGGAGCCGCGTGATGGGACGTCTTGTGCTCCGGGGTGGCCGCGGCAGCAGCCAAAACGGCGGCAATAATGAACACCTGTAATGCCATGAAGGTGATGTTACGGATATGTGATAGTTAGCTCAAGTCATTTCTCGACGGCCTTATTACATTTGATTCGATGTCACTATTGCATTAGGCTCTATTACATTCGACACATGTACTGACCACATCTGTCATTCAATTCGCAGTTCACACCACAGAGCACTGAAAACACATGTAAAAATACCGTGGATTGTAAAACGCTGCCTTTCTTAAAATTAACACAAATCCGTAGTTAATCGCCGAGAGCTAGGTTTTTGTGGTGTCGGCAGTTTTGGTGACATTTATTTCGGTGGCTATTTGGGTTTGAGACACGCCGTTTTATGTGAGTATTCCAGGGCATGCACCGCAACTGCCGTGCAGTAACGTCTTTCAGGACTAGCTCATGTATACCTCGGCCGTTTTTCCATGACTCTGATGTAGGGAATCTTGGTCATACTTAGTTTGGGGGGAAAATGCACGGTGTTTTCCGGGAAAGGACACTACAAACGCACATTTTTAAGAGTAGCCTGATGAAAGAGATTCAATATACACAAACGAGTATCTAAATGACTGCTGGCCGTCTGACGGAACGGCTACGTCAAACACATTGGCCCAGTGCCTGTGGCAAATGACCCTGCAGTAGCCACCAGCGCACTTGTCCAGCTGTGTGCTTGGTAAAACGTACCTTCATGCTGTATGGTTTAGTGGCCGGGTACGCCGTGCAACTGGTGCAGACTCCCACAGTGTCTTCCCTTTTATAGGTCGGCCAAGACCAGATCTTGGCCTGAGGTCACGGCCCGCTGCGCCCAGTCATCGGCTGACCCACACTGTTCTCCTGGTCGGACCGATGAACAAGCGCAGGACCCACGGCCACTCCCATGGGCGCGCCCACTGTCACCGGCTTGAACCCATGGCCGGAAGCTTAGAGCCAGCTCATAGCCCGGGCAGCCGCTCAAAGGAGTGGGGAAGGTTGGTAACAGCTTGCCTACAGCCGCTTGAAACGCGTGTTTTAATCGACCGCATCAAAGTTATGATAATTTGTTGCGGCCGCTCAGAGATATTTTCCGGAGCATGCGCGCTCTTGTCATAAACACTGTGTGTCTGGACAGATATTATTGAATTCATTATGTTGCAGACAACAGCTTTTATGATTGGTGCTTTCGCGCCCCATGCATTTTATCGGGTGCAGGGTACGGCAGTTTTAGATTGAAATCATAAGTTTGAGTTTTTGACACATCATCGTCAGTAAAAGTATCACCATGGATTTTCAAGACCGATCTAGGAGATTTTCTAATCTCACTCTAAACCGGAGGGCTCACCTGTGGTATATTCTGCAAGAACCTGTATTATTTACAGAAAAGATTATAGCACGAGTGTTGGCTTCAAAGGATTACGTCTCAGAAAACCTTTCTTTTCCTGGAACGAGCAAAACATGACATTAAAACTGATACTTCATGCCAAAGCACTGCAGTACGCCTGAAATATTCCACTTTTATGTTTTCTCTTCAGGAGGGGGGCAGTCTTGCAAAATAAATTAGACACTAAGTGGAGGAATACGGGCTGAACCTACACCACACCCAATCCCTACATCCGAACAACATGTGTTTCTCTCCGGCCAAAAACGTGTTGTCCCTGACCAAAACCGTATTCTTCGCGTTGGAGAAGACCTTAGCTCAGGATTTAGGCAACTTTTCAGAATTGATATCATCCTGTCACCCTCTCCGAACCAAACGAGAAAAAACACCGCTGATGTCCGACCATAACGCTGGGAACTAAAACAGTCATCACAGATTATCACCACAACTTTTCTGCCTCGCATAGAGCTCACGTGAATCTGAAAACATTCGGCATAAGTCTTCAGCATATATGGATACTTCGAGGAAAATATGAAACAACAGCGAAAAGGAGAATATATGCGACAAGCCCCATTTCTTTTACTTTTCATATTCATTTGTGGGCAGCATTAATCCTCTCAACAAGGCAACAGAAATACACGTGAGACAAGATGTTTAGATCCATATGTCAGCAGGTTGTTGCTTGAATCACGACACGTGCACGAGCAGCCTGGCTCTCATACAGCTGCGGTTTGAATGCTACACGCCCTACAGCTGTATCAGTGTCGCACAGTTGGTCGCAGGAGGCAACCGGCGCCCTCTTCGTTGAATTGCACCAGGTGCGGATTACACGAACTGAACTTCTGATTTCACCCGCAGGATGGCAGTAGTATCGACTGAGTCTTTTCACCCAGCTGCCTGTGTGAATCATAGCTCATGGTTCGCTGAAATAGAAAAGCGGCATAACACTGTTGTAAGTTATTGGGCCAGAACGCCTTGTACCCACCCAATCCTTTTGCAACGGACAATAATGTGTGAGATCACTCTATACCTTCTTACATCTTGTAGCTATTGTGTTTATTCGAGAAAGCAGTTTGCCATTCGCAAACATTTTTAGAGAATGCACGCTTGACGCAAAAACAATGATTGAGTTGATTCCAATTTGCAGCCAAATTGGTTCTCCAGCCAGCACATGTACATATTTGCAAAGAAACATCCGAGCGGTGATACCATAGCGACACCATCTACATCGCAGCAGAGTTTTCCGCTTGGGCAGCGGAAGCGTGCCTCTGTCGTGCAGAATCGGAGCATCCGTTTCGAGAATGGGTCGTGGCGGCTTCAATGGTGGCAATGTTTGGTGTTTGTAGACGCAGTCGAGTGTAATTTGGATTATTTCATCAACAGTCGCGTTTGGGAAATGACTGTCGACGCCTAATGAAGCAAGTAGACCAGTGGGATTGTAAAACTTGATGATGCCAATTAACTCTCCTGTGGGTTGCAAGCTATACTATGCTGGTTTGTAAAGTTCAGTCATGCTATTTAAATGGTGGCAGGGTTGCCCATATCATGGCTTTACGTTCAGCTTTATATGTATATATATATATATATATATATATATATATATATATATATATATATATATATATATATATATACATATATACAGATCTGTGTGTGATGGGTTGTAACGTGCCATTACGGGATGGGTGGTCAAGTACGGATCCTTTGTCCATTGGAGTGATGTGGGGAAGCTCTCACCCGTCAGGCAGTCACAATTCAGATGTGTTTGACCAGCCGCGCACTAATAACCACCTTTCAGGTCACTTCAGTGTGGCGATTTTGCTGGCCGGCACCTACATTTCGCAGAGAAAATGAGCGTTGTGATGCATCGTTTTGAATTGGTACGAATTGTATAGCTCGTGTCGCAACTTTTTCGCGATTGTGACGAGATTGACCGGGTTACACACCATCATATCACGTGGAGGTTTACTGCCTAATGTTCGTTACAAATATTGGTGTCGTCAAGAGCTTCGTTGAATGGAAATGTCTCGTTTCAGTTGATCAGATAACATTGCCCCTGGAAGAGGTATGAGTGTTTTTAAAGAAACGCATGGTTTCAGTGCTTCACTGTACTGCAACAGATCAGGTGAGGTCACGAAAAGCTTGATTACAACACATTTAGACGTTTAAATAGGCAAACGTTCTCACCCGGTGACTAGTACGCCGCAGCCTTGTATGCCGGGGCGGGATGGCTGTAAGTAGGCTTGTAGGCAGGCTTGTATGCCGGAGTGGCAGCCTTGTAGGCAGGGGCGGGGTGGTACTCGGGGTAGGTGGCCTCTCCCTCGTAGGTGACCTCCGCGTTGTAGCCGCCGTAGTGGTCAGCGACGTACTTGACGTGCTGAACACGGCCGTCGGGCAGAGCCACCGAGTAATATCCCTGGGTGTTGTGGCCATCGCTCTCCTCCTTCTTCGCGAAATTGGTGCCGGTGTAGTGGTCGTTGACAGCGTAGTCGTAGGCGAACGGCTTGGCCTCCTCCTTGTACTGGGGCTCCGGATGGTAAGAGGCCGGCTTGTAGGAGGGGGCCGGGTGGTAGGGGGCCGGCGTGGGCTTGTACACCGGCGTCTCCGGAGCCGGGGCGGTGGCGGCGACAGCCAGCACGGCGGCAGTGACGAAGATCTAAAATGTTACAACGGTTGAATTATTAATAAGGCGGTGTTTTTGGCATATTTCCTGTCTTACAATGCATTTTAAAACCACGCTTCTGATACAACACATCTCAGCATGGTTCCGACCACGGCATATTTTCCAGAATGATCTCGGGCGGTTGAAAAATACTACCTCAAACACATCCTTCAAGTGACTACCTGCATGCTTCGTTGTTGTGGTCGAGTGCGCAGTGAAACTGGTGCCTGCTTCCACAGTGCTTTCGTTTTTATAGGCCGTCCGCGAGCCGCCGATGTAAGGCCAAGGATAGGAGCCCGCTGAACGGGAGGCTCCCGCTACCACAGGCTAGGCTGATGAATTAGCATGGAGACTTGGCCGATCCCCGGGACACGCCCAACTTGTGGCAAGCGATTTTGGCGCCCTTTAAATTCGGTCTTTCCTTACCCATGACTTTAGATGTGGGTATTTCATTGAAAACGTACATTCACATGTTCAGTTTGATGGTGAAGAGAATGCAATTGATGACGAGCGCGGTGTCGTACATTCAGGTGCCATGTCATGCGTAGTAATGTGCCATACTTAATTTTTTTGGTTCTATGTACATCTACACACACGAATGTATATATATATATATATATATATATATATATATATATATATATATGCATGCGTTTATATTCGGTGGCACTTTCGGCCTTCGCATGTTGCCTCTAGTTTTCCAACAGTTTGGGTAACCGTTTTGTGATGCATTCTTAACGTTTAAGTACCAAGTAACTTTTTAAACTCTACCAAAAATTGCCTTGAAAAATTTATGATGTAAAACTTTCGATTTCATACGTAATGTATTTGCAGCAATTGAGCAATATAATGTAAACACTTAATATATAAGCGCTATAAACGAGCAAATGTATACAATTCTGGATGCTTCTAATAACAAATTTCGCATACCAATTTCTAGCAAATACCTCACGTTAATTTTAGGGATTGAGACATACCGGCCTAGATGTAACTTAACCTAAAAGAAAGAAAATCTGTTCTGTCGGGCTCCGTGATGCCAGAACCAAAGGCAACCCATTTCGCAAGTCTCAGTCCATGGTCCATCTTAAGAATGTCCACGCAACACCATGAAAGCAATGCAATGTCAATACTCGCAGCACTAACTCACTATGTCTCATGCGCACCATGACCGTGACATTTAATATTTTGTCTGTTCTGCGCCAGATTATGCACCAAAAGCCTAAATCCTTAAACTACTGCTGCCAGGTCGTCGACAGTTGGACAAATGTGTCATAGCTGACCGTTGCCGCCATCTTTTGGATGCTGTATAACCGACGTTGCGCATTGTATGTTCATTGCCATGTATTGGCACTTATCATCGGAACGTTTGTATTTCTAGCGAAGGTTTCTCTTCTTTTGTTTACGTTTTAGCCTATCGGCTGGGTCGTAACACCGTTTTTGCCCTACAACACTTCCGGTACAGTATACCAACAATCTGCCCATGTTGTGACGAACTCAACCTCGATGATATAACTGTCGGGAACAGGGAGTAACCGACCCACTTCTGAGTGTAACAAATAGGTACGTTTGGTCCTCACCAGCTAGCTTAGAAGCATCACATGCCAAAGCATGCAACACGTCAATGTCGGCCCGGCGCCGGCATACGTGCCGCCGCGTCTTTCTTTAGGAACCCCA